TTGGCCAAATAAGGACCGTAATAAACCTTGTGGTCCGCTACACAAGGCCCAGAGTTTGCGTTAAAAGAGTAGAATGTGTGGGCGGTTTCAAGTCCGATCCATGAGTTCATAATCAAATTTTAGTGGTGAAGGTGTCAATTTTGAAATAGTTGAACCTATGAAATGGGCAGTTCTTGTGAAAATCTCAATTTCTATACAGCACATGGTCTCATCATTGAACTCCATTCAAGCATAAACTACTTATCAGTCTGAATCACTAAATTTTTTAGTGATTCAGACTGATAAGTAGTTTATGAAATGGGAATAACGAATTTCTGAAAGTGATTTTCACGGCGAGGCATCTCTATCTTCTTGAAATAGTTCAACAGTGTCAGAAATCGCAAAAGAGTAGTATCAGCTCCAGGAAACTGTTTTTTAAAGTTGATGGTTCTTTAAGCTGTCCGATGCCTGAAATTATGCGCTAAGATAATTACTGATGACCCGCCGGAAATCAATTCGATTCCAATCCGTCATTTAACATCGTTTAAATCTTATTGATCTCAGTAGGATCTGATTCCATTCAAACTTCCGTTGAATTCATATTGCCTTTGTTTTACTGTACTTCACTTCGGCTTTCCCGTAAGAGAAATTCACTGACGAAAGTGCACAAAAAACATCTGCAGGCTACAAATAACCGAACGAAAACATGACTGGCTCCTCACGGAACATGTTGAAAGTTGTTTTGAGTTCTGTGTCGGATGAAAAAACTTTTGTCGTATTGAAACCGTAAATTCACTATGCCAGATTTCTGTTGGATATTTTAAGGCCAACTAAATGAAGTGACACTGTCAATTCATGTCTAAGAGTAGCCTTAAGGAAAGAAGAATATTATACTGTTGGCCCTTTATAAAATCGGTTTCCATTAGTGCTGGAAAATTACCGGATAATTACCAGAACACCGGATTTGGATGCTCCAATGAATAAGATTTATTTAGCTATAAGATTTAACAGTGAACTGTCTTAGTTTTTAGCTGAATGAATATCTTATGTCACCCGAGTTTCCCACACAACACATAAGTACAACATCGGAATTATACTTGTGAACTATATTCACCTCCTCCTCACAACAAGAACTACGAGTATAAAGAAGAAATTTTTAGAGACATCTTTCTTCTCTAAATCGCCTATCTACCAAGCAAAACCTCACATACATGAATACATCAAACATCCTTCACGTATCACACAGCTGCCCGTGTACTTATACATAAAATTATCGATGACTGGCTCTTTCCGGACCCGATCAAAATTTTCAAGCCTAGCAATTTCAATCGATTTGATATATTATTATGATGAATGATTCATTTTCATGATATATCAAATATATCAAGTCATAACACAATAATCTTAATAAAATTCTATTTAGCTCTGCTTCATTCTTCACTATTGTAGTTTCACTCCTATAGCTTCACATAACTAAAAGTTCTAACTAATGATTGCACGGATCGATCCTATTGTTTTTAATGTTACAACATCCATCTTGTAATTTGTCAGACTTGAATTGACTCTGTTTACTTGGCATCTCGTTGATTTGATATTTCATTACAAATGTGGAGTAATAATTTTAATGCAACTTTCAGTCCATTTCTATAGAGAAATTATGCATTCGAAATGATTTTGCAAAAAAAGGAAACCTAAGAACATTCAGTTTTCAATAATATATTCATTTTTTTATATCCATGTGTGCATCTATTTTCATACAAGTTTTTGATCTATTGAAATTGTTGCTAGCTTATAAAAATTGTGCGAACATGAGAATAAGATATTATTACCCTTTGGTTATTATGCATATCATAGTTCTTTTACAATCTATTGATTTCAAAATTTTATGTTTCCGGTTGGAAAAAATCTATGAAATTCAATGAAAAATCAGTGAAATGACCTATTAAAATTTATTTTGAAATTTTTATATCTTCAATTGATACAGTTCCAAAAGATCTTGAATTTTCTTTTACAAATTTTTTTCAAACTATCATAAAAACATTGCAAGATTTGAAATCTTGCAATTTTGATATGTTTTCAGTAAATATATTTTACGTTTGTCTTAAGTGTTTACAGATGTCTATGATTTTTATTTTTTAATACATTTCAAAGAAGAAAAATGGAAAATAAATCTTCAATTTTGATATTATTAGTATTTACGTAATATACTTGAAAAATTATATAAGAATATAGTAAGTTATTGAAGTTTTTCTAAGCTTTGGATAAAAAAATTCAAATCAAGCATATACGCTGTACTCATTAATTTCAATGTTTTTTGACTAGCATTGATTTCATGAAGATACAGTTTATAATGATTGAAACTCTGTACATAATTTATGCCTACTTTGAAATTTAAAATTTTTATTTTTACGATAAAGTTTCTCTTTGCCAAGGAGTTATTACATGATTTTGCAAAGGATTTCGAATTTAGAATAAGTAGAGTCTCTTTATTTTTCTTTATGCTAACTAAATCTCATTTGTTGCTATTGAGCCTCTTAAACATACATCATGTTTGCTGATGTTATTGTTTCACCTTGAAAAATATACTTCTATCTATATATTAAATCAAGTCAGTGAAGATCTAGAATTTCTACTACTTTTCCAGACCAGGTTTTTTTTTCCAAGATAATTTCATACGTTGTCTCGTATAATCAGCTTATCATAATTTGCTTGCACTTGAAATTATGAACACTTACAGGTGATATAATATATTTATTCCATAAGAATATCTATATGTTATTACGGATGTGCTAAACATAAAATCGAATGTGGAAAGAATAAAGCATTCTTTCCAGATTGCAGAAATAATGATCACAGTAGTAAAAAAAATTGTTTAAAATCTTCTAATTTGACTTAATTTATCTTTTAAAACAATCTGCTCTATTGTGACAATGAAAAATGTGGAGGTTTTGAAGCTTTGAGTAGGATGAAAGAGAATATGAATGCATATATTCTCTATCTAACTTACATAGCTAGCTACAGTCAAATTAATGACCTACTTTACGTTCTCAAAGAAAAATCTATGAACCAAAAAAAATCATTAAAAAATAATTTATATTGAATTTTGTTAACAAAAAAATTTATATTGAATTTTTTTAACAAATAATTTAAATGAATATTTCAAACACAATATTTCATGACACATCAGACACACACATCAAACACAAAGTCAAGGTAAAAGGTTAACTTGGGAACACAATACTCATATACAGAAATTTTTAATGTTGTGGCATTGAGATCTAAAATTTATTTTCTTGTGTAATTATGGCTAATGGAACTAAATAACATTCTTGTAGAACTCCAAAATAATTTATTATTTTAATTGCATCAACATATGGAAGCAAATATTCTTTTTGTTGATCACCTGTTAGATACAAGCGGAATTGAATTTTTGCAAAAAAATTGATTTTATTTACAATATATTTTTTCATATATATTTTATTATGTGCAGCAAAAATTCATCTTTAGATTATAATAATGTAATATCATTACAGAATAAAAAATTATACATTCTCACAAAATATAGATAAATTGTGACAAAATAATATTATAAATTTGTCATACTATACGATTTTGAAACAATATTATTGTAGATTTGGATCAACAGAATATTTATATTTGATATCTTTGTAAGATCACATCAAATTTTTTCAATAATATTCAAATAACCTACATAATTATTATTTTGATTAGTTAAATTTTGCACATATAAATCCATTATCCTACATTTAATTTTCACTATTGATATTGAAAGGAAAAAAATTGAACTTAGTTTTTTCATAGCTCATTGTGAATCTCTTATTCATTTTCTTGGCTGCAATAGATTAAATGTATTTTTTTTTAGTGAAAAAATTAACTCCATTTGGATCACATGAGGAAACAACTTGATTCCTTGTGTACACCATTTCGATTTGTAGGTTTTCATTTGCAAATTTTAGAATTAAAGGTAAATTCTAACCTTGTTTTCATCTATAGTTATCATGGTGATATATCACCTTGCCATACATCTTCTTATTCTGAAAGTGCCTGATTAAACTCTTTAGGAGATGTATACTCTCCATATGTTTTAGAGATCTAAAAGATAATTTAATAAGATATCTATGACACATTTTACATTCTGTATAATGAATATAGTTAAAATGTTACAGTAGAAGGCTATTCTGAACTCTTTTTTATTCGTCTCTCAGACAAATTGTTGGCTCGGAGATCTTGATTTAACCATGCATTTTTTTTTATTTCATCAGTTGTTTAGTTACGACAATGAAGATGTGTCAATCAGATTTATTAGTCCACAAATTACTAATATGAGCATAATTTTATAAAAGATGCAAGCCATATCTATTTCCATATAGCAAGTTGCACATTCGGTATTCGATAGATAAAAAAAGCCATGATAATATTGTGGATGTGATATTTAATATGATGCAAAAAGAATCTTACTTTATGTGAAAAGTAATTTGATATATTTTCTAATCTATCAGAGTTAAGAAAATCTTATACTTAAATGAGATGACTAAGATATTCTCGCATATTTGCTATTGATTGGATTAGGTAACAAAATATTTAGAGCTGATGTGTATTCACTCTTATCAGAAGTCGGGTCTTAAGTGAAGCTATAGCAGTGAACTATATGGGGTTACAAGTAGAGGTTTTTTTTTTCTAGCTTTATATTATATGGTCATTGTGAAGTGAAAATTCTTAAGGTACCCAAGCATAAGAATATATAAGGCCATCACTTCTTTATTCTATAGTTTCGAAGTTAGGGGTGGCAAATGGAACTATATTTTACAGTTTCTAAGGTACGTAAGCATAGAAGTATGTAAAGACATCATCATCGCTTTTCAAAACCATTGGTTTGGAACTGTATGGAGGTATGGATGTGAACTTGGATATGTTCCTAAGAGAGTATGATATCAAACATAAAACTAGGTTATCATAATAGTCAAAAAGGTATACCACTTTTTGTAGTGTATTGTATAGCGTTGCAAAGAGAATATTTGTGATTCATGGAAGAGCAATCACAAGATGTGGTGTCTCATATGATGCTTTTGGAGCATGTAGACATTTTGACCTAGTGGCAACAGGACACTTCTGTATTCATAATGAGTAAGATGGGGCCTAGCATCATCTTACCCAATGGAAATCATCAATATACCTCTTGATGAAGACTTTGTTTGTTATGTTACTTGTTATATCCTCTCACTTGCAGCACCATGTGAACGGCCAATCACTCTTGCAGCAACATGTGGAAGATCTTTCACTTAGATAGTTTGGATATCTATAGTACATAATATAGTACTTTAGCATTTTGATGCCGCTGGGTCCTAGCCCCTTATGACCGGATTGGTTTGCGTCCATGTAAGACTTGATGGGGTACTGCCATACCGGTTGTGATAATATTCTGCTCTCACGAGCCCTCTTGACCTCTCATTGACATTTGGCTGCCCTAGAATCCCGGTTCCAACTTCGTACAAGAACGTAGGCCAAAACCGACGAATGAGCGGCTGGAGGCAGTGTGGCACGAGCTCGGTATTGGTCGAGTCCATAGTCAGCACTGTCCTGTCGGACAGTGGTGACTATCCGAAATTGCGGGTTCGGGCCAGAGCTGAAATCACGTGAGGCTCCAGCAAGAACTTCCCGGAACCATACAGCAGCAGACGTCGCGGGACCCGGTCCAGCCGTCAGTTGTGTCTAGCTGTCCTGCCGTGATGCGACTCAAGAGGGACACGGCCCGCGAGCCAATGCGAAGGGCGGGGGCGAACTGCCGAAGGCAGGTCGCCGACAAAGACGCGACTGTGGACTGCGGACCCTGTCCTGCCTTCGAGAGCTGGGGCGGGAACCGAGCGATGGAGGCGTAAGGACGGGCGCAAGGAGAAAGGATGCGAAGCGCGGGGGAACACGGCAAGGAGAATGTCCGATCCTTGCCCCTTTGTCGTGTAACTTTCCACGCCTGCCACCGGATCTTCGACGTTGAAACTCGCGGCCTTCGAAATTCATTCTTTTCTAACGGTGAGGTCAAGTCCCCCCCGTTCTGTCAAACATTCCAAAGTTCCAGGACCTGTTGCGGAACTGCAGTCCCGAATCCGCTCGAGATCTTCAACAGTTTGCCGTGACAGTGCACCAGTGCCCTCGCCTTGTCCCATTGTGTCCAATGCGAATTCGATATATCATTGTATACATCGGTGCAGCCCCGTCTCCAGCTCCGTAATGATTGACGAGCTCCATCACTTATTACTTTAACATCGGGCCCCTCTCGCCATGGACCGTTTCAGTCGCCTGGATGTCTTCGTCCTCGGCCCAGTTCCTGCTGAGTGATCGGAAGACTGCTTGCCACATTCTTTTCACTGGAGGCGAGAGAGCGGATGAGAAATGCGGTGGCATTCGTTGTCAGGAGGCAGGCGGGGGTCGATTGTGAGGGCAGGAGAATCACAGGACGCCTGCCTGAGTCCTGGAGCGAATACTGAAAGTCAGATCTTCAGTGCATTGCAGCTTCTTCATATCTGCCTCGGGGCACTGTGCGCGCGCCCACCGCGCGCATAGTGCACACAGACCGTACCGTGATGAAACTGGAGAACGTTCTCGCTGGGAAGCACCTGCCGGCATAGCAGCGACGACATGCAGAACCGAGGCCGGGTGTCGACGAGGGATTGGGCAGGAAGATGCTGCTGAACACATCAGCAGTTCTGACATGGGTAGCAGGGCGGGGAAAACATGCTTCAAGCGGAATATTGGCGTGCAACCTGTCAAACACGATTCTTCTTGCCCCCTAATTCGAGATATCGGATCACACTCGCTTGAAACACGAATGCAAGTTTGACTGCGCCATTCTCGGAGCGCTCATGGCCGATCGACCGGCCCAGAAAGAGATGCAGCGCCGTACAGTCATAACGCACGAGATAAACAACATTGAATTTACCAACAGGGGACCGGATCCCTGTTGCGAGTGCTCAATGCGCCTGCTCGATGTCCAACGCCAAAGCCATTTGTGCTCCGTCCTCCATTCCAGCGCAGGACTGGAGAATGCAGCACATGAAACGAAGGGGTTGTTGTCGACAATCACGAGCACGCGAGGAGTAACTGTCGAGGCCTGAGAAGATCGAATATCGTGCCGGGGGCTCACTTGCATCTGTAATTTCGTCGTCCGAGCACTATATGCGACAACTTTGTGCTGGACGAATGTCAAGAATAGCAGAGGAGTTTCCCAAATATAAGAGAGGAGGAGGTCGTCTATCCGCTTGGAGTGCGAAGCGGCGACCCAAATAGCAAAGGGTAGGGGTGAAGTAAACGCGTGTCCAAACATGTCCTAGAACGATCGATGGGTTATGTCATTTGAGAAAACCAGAACCTAGGGCCTCCGTCTGCCGAAAGTCGCGTAGTGGCTAAGAAAAGCATGTGCAACAAATATGACTCAAAGAAATAACTCCACCATCGCGAGTAAAAGCACCGCTCGTCATATGCCGCCTTACGTCTCAAACGTTCGACTTGCGAGACAGTCCTGCCTCTCATGCAGTCGCAACTCTTGTGCTTCGAAACTCCAGAGGACCTTGTCAAAGCTCCGTAACTTTTTTGTATCCTCATGCAGTCCTGGTTGACTTTCGTGTCCAAATCCTGAAGAAAAAGGACAAGCACTTGAACAGCATCAAGTAGCCCAATACAGGAACATACTTTGATTTGAGATATACAATGCACCTATCTTGTTTCAACGCCTTTTCCTTCGAGTCTTACGGTGTGAAGTCCGGTGATTGCGCTCTCCCTTCCGACCTGATCTGAGCGAAGGAAACATTCTCATGTGTGTGTCGAGTTGATTCATTCCCATACTGTTTTATAATACTATTTTGCACGCAAAGAGTGCATGGATTTGGAGTACAACGACCAAAGATATTGCGTCCTGCAATTCTATCGTTGATGTCTGCTGAGATGATCTCTTACGATATCCTTCCTTCACTCGAGGTGCAGTTCTGATTACCATTAACTCGGTCGTCGTAAGCGGCTCTGCTCATCGTCATCTGCGGTCATTTTCATGTTAGAATCATTCGGTTCAGTTGATCAGGCCCGGCATGAGTCGCAGCATTGCCACAATTCAATGCAGGAGAAAACGTGAGCAACCTGAGGCAGAAGATATACTCAAAGGTATACTCTAAGCAGTCAAGGCTTCAAAGCATGAACAGAACATAACCCCTTGCGTGTCAGGAATATTCCCAAATAAAAAATTGAATTGAATAAAACAATGTGATGGTGAACTTTGACTCGATCGACCAGCTGGCCGAGGATCCATATGATAGTTGGATGTAGAGGGAGTGAAAGGCGGATAGATACCTCCGGTGGAAGGGATGTTAGGGACTTTTCTTTGGACAAGACCAGGAGGAACAATTCTGTCGGCTGTGTTGGTTACAGTTATTCTTTGTGAAGTTGTGGTGGGGCCGTCAGGCCTAGGACAGTTGCTTCATTGTCATGATGCTCAGGCCCGAAGGGCCTTTGTCTCTTGCCCGTCCTTGACTTGGCTCACGCTGTAGGAGAGCCCTGAATGGCGCTGCTCTCATCGAATGGGTGTTGATGTTGAATAGAACGCAGCCAGTCAGCACGGAAGGGGTTTGAACCTTCCTTGACCTGTAGAACAATGCACCCTCCACTTGTACGAGCCGCTCCGCTATATGATCAGCCGTCACACTCTCCTCGTCTCATTGTTCAGAAGATTTGCCATGCGCTTCATAACAAATTTCGAGGTCTTCTGAACTGTCAAATCCCTGTCGAATCTCCTGACCTCCGGGTTCAAATTCTTCCTCCGATTCTCCCAAGCGTTCTTCAGAACTCGGGAATTGCTTCAACTCTATTCCTGAGAAAATTCTGCTTCGGAGGAGCCGTTCTGGAGCTCAACAATGGCAGACTACGACGATGTAAGTAATGCTTGTCGACCTCCTGCATGCTCTTCGCGATCAGAAGCCAGTGTCCTGTTCTTGTCACGCTACGCCAAATAAATCGGACTGTGAGCCTGGCATGCATGATCAGTCGTCCGTTTTCAGTCCTAGCTTGGGATGGCGGTTCGACTATTTGAGTCGTTGCAATGGGAAAATGAGAAGAGTGTTGTAGTAGAATGTGCATCGAACTAAATGGCGGAATCCAGTGCGCGATCAATCTGACGTTGTGGAAATGGATTGTGGAATACGCGCAGTTATTTAGCGGAGATCCTGATCCTCCCTGGCTCACGGCTTCTCGCGGAGAGGAGAGCTCGACATCGGACTGCTCGAACACGGTCGGTGGACTTTTCGACACCTCGAGCACACTCCGGGCAATGACGGTTTGCACTAGATCATGCGCAGACATGCCGATCCTTCGGCAGTCACGTCATTCCAACCACAACAAAGGGTAAGGATGGCAGGAATCGCCAGAAAATTTGAAGATCTTCAATCACACGCGTGCGGAAGTGTCGGCGTTAAACCCAGCTAGCGGGCGAACGATTTCTCGGGAGGCTTGAGGGGCAAGCATGCGGACCACGGAAGGTGTTATCCATCTCTGAGATGGAACCTGGACCAAGTGCACGTGGACTCAACTCGACAGGAGCTTGTACATCCACATTGATCAAGTTTGATTTCCTTGAGTGGGTAGGATGCTGTCCTCCGTACTCCGCTTTGGTTTACCCGATTCATAGAACGCCGCGGAGAGTCGAAAGGAGCAAACACGAAATTTCGCTGCAACAAGTGCGTACATACTCGCGTGGGATTCAGAGAAGGTGGGGAATGGGGAGACTGAGTCATTGAGAGACATGAACTTGACGCTCACGATTTGCAAACGGTCAAAGACTCACGAGCTCGTGCTCCTACGCGCATATCCGTAGCACGACGATCTCCCCCTCTAGTGAAGTGATACATCTGCAGAACTGTGTTCACCAACCAATCTTTTATAGCTTACATACATTGAATTGATGAACTGCGCTGACATCGAACTTCTATTTGACGTTCTGCCGAACTTAGCAGATAAACTAGATAGATCCTGCTGCTAGTATCCTATGATTTGAAGAAATCCCTGCGGATGCATTTGCGATAGTAAAGTCCACCGATTGGTGCTGGGCTATACCTCATGAACGAACAGATTACACTAGAGGTAGTAGACCTGTCCTGCCTTTGAGTTGGGACGGTTAAAATCAGGCCAAATCTTACTCGATGATTGGAATACAGATATTGGTGTTCAAGCCCCGGGAAACTGTTTCACCATAAACACTTCGTGATCTACATATCAATGACAAGTATTCATCTCGAAATGGAAGTTTAGCTCGAAAATTGACGGCCCAGATGCTCAATGTTGACCAATAATTCGATGCTACTTCAGCAGAGGCACTATTAGACATGAATATCAACTCGAATACAAAGTTCCTTCACAGATTGGCTTTTTTGGGGCAGACATAAAGCAATATGGACGATGTGAGAAGATGTCGAACCAGCAAAGTTTCAGCAGATCCTGGGTCATCAATGATGTAGGTATAACAGACTTTGAACTCAAGTTAACAATCGTCAACGGCATATTTGCTTCTCGACAAAGAAGGCGGATCAGGTCAACCAAGCCCTGCACATGACCAGGACATTGCCGTAAATCTGCATGTAAGCTGGAGAAGACATGACTTTAGTGAGAATCATTCGTATAATCAACTCGAAAGCCCAACTAATCATGATTTCATTTCAATGTCTTTGCTATTCAACGTAAAGTTCGGGGCAGTGTATGAGCGTCGTCGGTTGATGTATGTCCCCCTATACTCAAAGGCTTCAAATACCTACATTAACGCACGAAAATCTACAGAATATGTTTTCCCAAAGACCATCATGCATGCAGCTGCACTCCATGCCTGGGGATGATTCAAGATTCGATGTTATTCATGAGTTGAAGATGCTTATCAGATTAAGCTCTTCTTTCTTATCCATGTCAAGTGAAAGGAAGACTCTCTCTCTCTCGTTCTCTCACCAATAGTCTAATCTGGGTCGCAGACTAAAAGATCACCATGAAGCATGGATCTCATTCAAGAACACGTAGAATCCTCTTAGTTTAAGCATTTTTGAAACGGCAGATGAAGAAAAGAGATTGACTATGTCCAAGATTCCAATGGAAATGAGATTTTAAGTATCGTCCGTTACCTCATATAGTTCTTTCTTATCATCCGTTTCAGATATGCCTTCCTAAGATGTTTCACGTCCAAGAATCACGAAGCCAGTCCTGAGTGGTCACAAGCCAAACGTATCATCTGCTGGTGCAGGCGGATGCTTTTAGCTGCAAGGGCCACGTAGGTTAAGATTGTAACTTGGGCATGTTACAACCATGATGATAGTGATGTGGGAGCTTAGAGAACGGAGAGACTGGGTTAAGATTACATAAGTAGTTTTTGATACTTTACGGTTGCCCAACAAAGAATGGAAGTTTCCAATTTACCTTCCAATGAGAATTGTAAAGAGATGGCTTTTGGTGAATAAATTTATTTTTTATTTTTAAAGTTTCATATTAATTGTATCCAATCCAACGCGATATATTTATGACGTTAACATATTTTGCTTGGGCATTCTTGGAATCCACAAGTGCAAGTAGCGTCTAATACTTTGTTTCACACCACTACCACATTCATTGACTACGTTTAGCTCATAGATTACTTTCAATAATGGGAAATCAGAATGTGATGTTTGATATGTTTTTATAGAGTCTTGCTTGTAAACTCACGAACTATTTATTAGTAATCATCTTGCACATGCACTCCCATCACATTTGACAATGATTGTTACGGATATTTCAAGTCAACGACTTCGAGTGGCACAAAATTTGACATAAAGACATGCTCATCAATTATATGTGAAAAAAATACTTGGTTAATAATCATATTTGCTAGTTAGCTACTGTTTGCATCTCTACATTCTTGATAGGCAAAGAAGATGCAGAAATGATTGCAACAATTGAATCATATGCCAAAACGTATGAGTTTATTTTGTACTATTCTTGTTATGGTGGATAAATGCTTCGTTTTTATAGATCTTATCAGATCTTTTTTTGCTTTGTGTTTTTTAATCTACTAAATGTCGACAACCTACCTTTTTATAGTAACAACTTCAACATACTTTACCCTCTACCTTGCACTGTCCGGTCACTCCTTGCAATATCAAAGTCTATATGCTTTCAAATTTTGGCATAAATGCATAAATCAGTTCTGAAACATAAATTCATATTTTCAAAACTAAATTATATTATATTATTGATAGGATTTATAAAGATTATCATGAATATATTCACCTTCTTGTGACTACACTTTTGATTCAAATGGAAAAATAATTTCGTGAAATTTTTGCATATTACTTTGTACTATATGATTATCAATAATTTCATAAAAATTTAATAATTGTATTATTATTATTTTAAAAATAATTAATTTCATGACATGAAATGATGAATGATACATATGAACTATTCAAACTATTGAAATTAGAAGAAATGTAAAAAAAAAAATTTGGGTTATTAATCCAAAAATTAAAGTAACAAAATAAAATAAAAATCTTGCAAAGATTATTAATCTAATTATTACCGAAATAATCATGTTGAGAATATACTTAGAGCACACACAGTATAAGCGCATGAGTTTCATCATTTTAATATAAACCCAAATTATCTGCACATAGAAAGTTCATGTGACATGTTTGATATATCTAAAAGAGTCAACTGCAATCAATATATATTCTCTCCATCTCTCTCTTCGATGATATCTCTTGAAATTCATATTATCAAAGCTATGACTCCACATCTATTTTTGTTAGTAAGATGAAAATAATAATTTGTGTTGAAATTTAACCTCTTTGACAATTGAAGATAAATTTATTGAATATATATTTGATGTGTGATTGATTTCAATGATGTATATTCAGTTGATACTAAAAAAAAAATTCAGAAAATTCCTATGAACATCAATATTCATAATTGTTTATATGAAAATTGATTATCAATAAGAAAAGTATTTGATGATTTTTTATAATTTTTATTATCTATTAGACATTTTGATGTATAAAAAATTTCAAAGTAGACAATTAAATAAAATTGCATTAAATATTTCTATTTTAATTTTCAAACATTAATTAAGTTTCATTAATTTAAAATTTTAGTTTAAATAAATTCAACTATTTAGTGTTAGACAAACTAGATTAATGAAGTTAGCCTATTATTATGTAGTCAAGCAGTTTATAACTTTCAATGACATAAAATTTAGAACTTAGAAAAAAAACCTCTTTGAAATCATAAACTCTTGTTGAAATAAATCACCTACTTACTACATCGGCTTTCGGCTAAATTTAGATTTTCAGCAAAAAATTGTTAAAAAATTAGTATTCAAACGTCATCATGTGGCGTAGGTTCTTGTATATAAGCAATAAGCACAATGGAAATATCAGCATTGGCATCGACAAACAAGAAAGCAACAATCAAGTGGCAACATCAACATCTTTATTATAATTTGATTGGCATTATCAAATCAAAATGAAGAGAAAATTGTGATGTATATGTTTTTTGGTGGTTCATGTGAGATTGATAAATGTTGAAAAAGCAAATTGTTGACTCTTCAAGAGAGTTTATATGCTGGTAAGCAAATAAAAGGGCACTATCATGGACTAACTTTTCCAAATATATGCATTGTGATAAGATTAAAAATTGATGCTACTACAAGTGTAATATTCATATATGATGTATCACCGTAAGCGTGAAAAGACGGTGCTGATACGACTGAATAATCCAAAAAAAAAACTCCATTTATGCAAGTGTCCAAAGCGTGCGACTATAAGTCTAAGGATTGTTTTTGCTGTATCATGTACTTAAGATTGCTCTGAAAATATATGAGCTTTTGACAGTATTCTAATTTCTTCATGTGAGTCATCTCTTTTGATTTAAAATCTCCTTATGACGCTTTTCGTAATCACCCAAAACACTGTCAAAAGTGTAGATTTTCCTCTCAAGTAGAGTCTACATTCTTTGACTCGCTTGAATAGAAATAAACCTAAAGCTTTAATTTTTCTTTTTTATCAATAATATTCTTTCGTGTCATTAAACAAATACTCCCATCCTTTGAAGTCAAACTTCCTTCATCCTTCTCTAATATACTCTTTTTTGCTTCTAGCGAACAAGATCACCGTCTCGTCAAAAATTCCTAGTTTTATGAAACTATACTACATTCCTTTCACCGACACCCGCCGTTGTTTTCCTGCCACCTGCATTAGCTGTCATTATTTTAGCAACGCATGTATTTGTCCTATTAGTCTAGTGCTATTTGTCAAAAAAATAATTTCCTGCCACTTGCATTCTACGTCTATTTTTTAGCAACGTATGTATTTGTCCTATTAGTCTAATGCTAGTTGTCTCTCCATCGCGTGATTTTGAAAGTTGCTACTTCTCTTCTCACTTCAGTCTCTCGCTGGCTGTCAACATCCGTTTATGTCTTCTTATCACTCGAGTTTGTTTTGTTTTCCACTTAGGCATGTGTTTGTCTTCTTGCTCCATATTAGTTGTCTCATCACTTCATGTATATGGAAATTGCCGTCTCATTGCAATTTTTATCCTACAAGCATGGATTTAGATCTTTGTTTATTTTAAAATTCACCACTTCTTTTTCTTGAAAGATCTCGACAATTACTTTGCGTTATTTTACCATGAGTTATAGCATTCTTGAAGCAGTTTTTCTAACCACTTTAACCTTGCTTGTACTAGCAATAGTCCAACAATTTGACTCATCTACATTGAACTTGTTAAGGTCTTTTAGCTAATAGCCGTGTTACCACATGACATCAAAATTTGGTTATTCTTCATTTATTTGATGAGTGAAACACAAAAAGGTTCAACAAATCAAGTTGAATCCAGATTAGTTTTCATTCATTAGTTGACTAATAACTTGTCCAAAAGAAATATTTGATAAAGTCTTAACTACGTGATAGTTCATTGCAAATGTACATATATGTGATTCATATACAATCACAAGACCAAAAGTATGAAAATGATGACAAAAGGATAAATCTAAAAATAGTACCATATCTAAAGATAGATTTTAAAACAAAAATACTACGACATGTTGGTACTTATGGCAAAGAAATCTTATAGGAATATAGGTAATGAAAATATGACAGAAATATAATGTTTATGGAAATCTTTAGATCAAACTATTCTAATGAATATAAGATATGATTGTAAATATCTAGTTAAAAAACCAACAGTAACAAAGAAGTAACCCTTGCGGTTTGCAAATGAAAGAATTTGAAGTATGCAACACAATTAAAAAATCATG